AAGATCAGTTTATTATTTACCATATACAATTTCTTGCATTAGGAATTCGTATTTTTCGCTTTCTCCCCATGAGACACAGACACACAGACAAGGAGAGAAGCTTGGGGTCAGAGCGCAGGGTCAGCCATTGTACAGCGCCCCTGGAGCAGTTGGGGGTAAGGGCCTTGCTCAGGGGCCCAACAGAGTAGGATTCCTCTGCCGGCCGCGGGATTTGAACCGGCAACCTTCCAGCCACAGGCGCAGATCTTTAGCTACAGTGCCACCGATCCTGTACTCAAATTCAAATTTAACTTCTTATCAATTTATCCAGAACAAGCCAATTAATATAAATAAACCAAGAAAAACAAAACAGAATGAGATCCTTGGATCAACTGGCTACCAAACTAACTACCAAAAGAGCCAAATGGACTGGCTGACCTCTTTTCATTTCTGTTCTTTTTGTTCTTGTACTTTGTACAAGAAGATAACTTAATAATGTTGCAATAAAATTAGTACTGAGCAATGCATGCTGCACTAGGAATAAAGAAATAGTAAGAATTAAAACAGTGCACAGTTTGTCTGCCAGTCAGTAATGAAGAAGGCGTGATGCAATAACACAAATCGTATTGCCATCCTGAGTATCAGCATTAGTGCAACGCAGTGTAAGACTGATATCGGAGAGCTGAGAGATGCTGCTAGTGATGGTGAAACCGATGAGTCTAAAGCAGGTGCAGGGGTACGCACACTCGGACACTGAAATTGTTAATTTTTTCTAATTCCCATCCCTGACCTGTAGAGTATCAGCCTTTAGCTTGAGCATCTGCATCAGGCCCTGCATGATTGACAAGAACAAACTACTACAGGTAGATAGTGCTGTGCCTGCTTACTTCTGTTCTTTGTGATGTTTCCCATTGTCTGTGTAGCAAGATGTCAAGGCTTCTTGCTTTAATATGGCAACGTAGTTTAGTTTCTTATCTACTGTAAATAAAGTTGCTTTAAGCTTCAGGCAGATAGCCAGACAGAAGACTGGAAATCCGATTGCTGCAGATTTTATAAATTAGGATTAAAGATAGAGAGGGCCCCTTTTGGTCCTGCACACTGCGTTTTTTGTTAAACCAGATTTCATAAACTAATTCAAACACTCGGTCCCATATACCCCCAATTAAATAGAAACTCTGGTCCCAAATCCTTGAATTAACATTTAAAAAGAAAGGCGCTGAAACACTTTCTCTTCAAAGAAGCTGTACTGTACAAGTCTTTTATTTGGAAACCACAAATGTGATACAGCATTACATAACATATTACATTATTACACATAGCTGATATAAAATGCTGGTAGGCCAAGTTCTTTTGTTTTAATTAATTACTTGTATTTGGCTGTTGATGGTAAAACATTCTTGGAATTTGCTGTGGTAGAAAGTGAAGTTTTGTAACATGGCTTCCACAAGCACAAGGAAAATGACTCTGGCTTTGATCTCTTAAAGTGTGTGACAACATATTTGGTTACTGGTCCTGGAAAATGCCTTATTTGCATTTATGTTGCTTCTTCAGCCCCATGTCTTCCATTCATCTTGATCATGAGGCTAAAGCAACGTATTTACATTTGGCAAAGCACCCTTTGTGTTGATTCCAGAGTTTAGGAGTACATGACATGTACTCTTATCATCTGACTGGAACTCCCTTGGAGTGGTTTCTGCTTTGACAGTAAAATAGGAATGCTTGTAAATATCTAAAAAAAGTAGCTTTTATGTAAAGCTGACTCTGAAAATCAAATGTGTTGTTTACCTCACACTTGTTTGCATTTAGGATTCTTTTCCCTTTTTTCGTCACAGTTTCCAGACAGCCAGTGTAGTGAAAGAATAATATTTACACCACATTATAATGTGTGGGCCTGAAAACTCGTTTTATCTCCCCATGGGCCGCACAGGTACACGGTAAGTAAAATCAATCAGAAACCTGAATCAGGCTCTTTAGGCTGTTAAATCTTGGAAAGCTTGTAATGAATATGTGTCACGCACATTTAAGGACTGCGAACACTTTCCTTTATGGTACAGAATCTCCTTTCTGTCAGAATATACAACTGGGGAAGAAAAACTATCCTCTCACGCGCCAATAACTACAAGGTTGCTGGAAACAAACCCCCAACTGTGTCAAAAAAAAAGAGAAAAAGTGAATAAAAAAGCTTTTTAAGGAATGCAGACTATAATGGCTTTATTAGACTCCTCATTTCAATCAGTGCTGAATCTGCTGAGTCCTGTGCTGCCTCTGATGACAGTATACTAAAGACCCCTTTTTTTCTCTGCTTTTTTGTTAAATATGGTAATATCTATTCTTTAATTACCGGCTTCTTGTAAGCCTCCCTCTTACATTATAATTTATTTGCCTTTCAAGTGGGCACTTAAAATGGCTTTTTAACATTCCCCCCGCAGCAGTGTGCTTTGAATGTGGAAGACTTAATTTGGTCCTTCCCCCCTTCTCCCTCCCCTACCCTCTATTTTTCTTTCTAATTTTGCTGTTTGCTTTTTTTGTTTCCCTATCAATGTGGGTGCTGTAGGTTTTTGTCCCTCAAGTGCTGGCCAGTTCCTCCCCTTTTCTCTGTTTCACAATCCACACCAAGAGGGTTTTTTTGCATATTCCTCCCTCTTCCCCTTGTGAGATATTGTTACTGACCAAATTTAAACACTACAGCGCTAAGAATCCCCACAGAGCCACTTTATGTACTTGGACCTGCAAAGTGCCCTAAGCAATAACTACCTGAATTGCTTTTAATTGCACAATATAGCTGCATCATCTTGGTTCAAATTCTGCTTGATTGATACTGCAAGGCAATTGTAAGCGTGGATGACAGGATTAAGTGCCTATTGATGTGACTTTAGCTTCTTTCAAGAACAAAGACAGAAAAGAGAATACTTTGCCCTCTTTTAGTGCAGTGTTTCTCCCCCTTTCTTTCCCTTCTCGCAGCATAAAGGAACACAATCAACAAATATTATCCCTCTGAGGTAAATTGGAATGCACATGCAGGCGAGAACTATTCTTGACTGTAATTAGATATATATGATCCCAGCTATTTTGGCCATTCATTAGTGCTAATTGTTTGAGAACCAGGCCTACAGAACAAATAATTAAAATGTGAGCACCATAACTGCGATTATTAGCATGTGTGATAAAATGCATGCTCAGCAGCTGTATCAATAAAACTCTTTGGAAGGACTGCTTTCATCAGACCATGCTCAGTGCGAACAAGAGTTTTTGGCTCTGTTGTGGACTGCCAATGTTTGTACAAGCGCCACTGCTGTTTACAACAAACAGCCCTCTATTTTCCGGTAGTAATTAGTAGGAAGTATTATGCAGGTTTGTTGTGTTGTCCAAACTTTAATTATTTGGGGGGCTCCTAAGCTTTTTTCCTCCACTTATAGTTCAGTTTACCTCTTAATTGATTTATTCAGCTGTGTCAGCTAAGCTGCTGTCAGAACTGGGAAGAGAAGAGGACAGTTGCTTCTGATGTGATAAACAGTTACAAAAGTGCAGGTCAGCATTGCTCATCTGCTTCAATAGGGAGCTGAAAGGAAAACGCATTCTTCACTTCTGAGTCAAACGTATAGGAAAACATGAAACAAATGCTTTCACTTGTGGCTTTTTTTGTTTTCTTTAACTTTCCCATGAACCATTTTTAAGTAGCTGGCCAGTGTTTTGTAGAGCTTTAATTGGCAGGTGTCAGATGTGCGACTGTTACTTTGGCTTCCTTGGGTGAAATTAAAATTCAGGTTATGTTGGGGGGGGGGTAATTTGGTATGTAAAACCCAGTTTAAGTATTTTCAGAGGTTCTGCTATTTTGTTCTTTTGTGCTTTTAAATGAACCATTTTCTTTAAGTTGCTTTCTTTCATTATGTTCAATTATTTGATGTTGAACATTTCATCACTTCCTTTAAACATTTATATGTTTTTTGTTGTAGTTACAGGTTATTATGGGAAAATAAAATGTGTGTTGTGTTTTTGCACTTTATGCATTTTATTCATGTCTAAATTTTATTATAGAATTTTATACCTGAAATTTATATCTCACTAATATGTTAACTACTTAAAATGAAAAAAAAAAACTATTTCCCACATACAAAACAGTAGAAAAACTTTTTATTCAGTAACTGAAATTAACATTTTGGCAATCCATTAATTCAGTCTTATCAAAGGAAGGATTCACTGACAAGGAAAAAGGCAGATAACATTTAATTTAGACGAGCATTATGAATGCTGGATAATAAAAATATAAACTATAATGCTGAGCGAGGAATGGTTGTGTATGAAAAAAGGTACTGTGTAGGAAAGGTAAGTGTTTATGTTGACGTATCATTTTCATCTAGACAATGTTGGAAAGCAAACCAAAATACTTGGATATGTAGTTAAATGAAGGATGATATCCTGCACTAAAAGGCCAAATGACCTGAACCTTTTTAGTCTTGACCAAGTTTGCAAGGGTACTTGATACAAGTATTCAGAAGTCTCAAAGACTTGGGACAGACTCAACTCAGCAGTCTTCTTCAGAATGAACAGTGAGAGACAAACTAGCGGGCACAAGTGGAAACTATGTGGAAGTGCGTTTAAAACTGAGAACAGAAGGCATGACTTTACCCTAAGAGTTGTGGAAGTATGGAACAAACTTCTCAACCATGATGTTGGATCCAGTACTTGGCTTTCTTACAAGAAATGGCTGACTGAGAACCCTGGGTTAATTAAACTCTAATAGACTAGATGGGCTGAGTGGCCTCCTCTCTTTTATTCTTTGTTCTTACTGTAACTCTGATTGAGCTTATAGGTCCAGCTGAAAGCACTGCTTATTCCATTTCCTTTTCCCTGAAGTATCTGATGCTAAATAAAGAAGAAGTAAATAACTTTTTGCTTCACTGTTTAATACTACTTTGGTATATTGTAAACATCCATGCCTGGATTCCTTTCACGCTGTAGAATCACTGTGCTATGTATATGCGTGTGTATAGTGGTGTTTTTTCTGATGTGTATTTCTGTAGGGGAAGAGAGCCGTGGCCCATTTCTCTGAAAGGGCTAAAATTTTATGGCAGCTGTCGCTACCAGCACACACTGGAGTCTTCCATCAAGTACGTCCCCAGACGAGCAGTGCTGTACGTCCCTGGAAATGATGAAAGGAAGATGCGGAAACTGGCCTCTCTAGACGTGGACTGTGCGGTGTTTGACTGTGAGGATGGTGTGGCTCTCAACAGAAAGGTAACTGCTAGCTGTTGTCTGGTAAACAGGAGCATCTTTTTAGAGTGGTCTAATTCTAGTTTTACTGGAATATTCGTAAGCATAAGGGACAATTCACCAGTCTTGAATGATCCTTTGTTAAAAGCAATTTTTTTGCGTCCATAATAACCGGTATGTTCATTACAGATGCAAGTTTTCTGGCGTTTTAAGTTCCACACAAAGGGCATTTAAATTAGCTAAAGCATGAAGTAATGCAATTGGAAGATCTTAAGGCCGCAGACAGGAGCAAACAGAACTGATGCAGCACCTGTGGCTCCACTTTTCAGTGGAAACCTTTACGGTTATGCAGTGAGTCTTGAACATTTCAAACTTTCTGTTTTTGAAAAAGATTTTCCGTTTTTTTTTTAAACAAAGTAGAAAACAATAAATTTTTCTCAGAAGAAGGTATAAGGAATCATAACTTTCCAGTCCACATCACTGAATTACATTTAATAGTCTTGTGAGAATGTGTTTAGGCCTTGCAAATATCATGATTTAAAAACAATATTTGTGCTACTTTTCTAACTTTCTAACTTTAAATACTTTTAATTGAGAAGTTGTTTATACTGAAAGTTTTGATTTACTGCAGTTTTTTTTCTTAATAAACCTCTGCTGATTGAGCTAAGTCTTTTAAAGAAGGCTTAGATGATATGACTTGTTGCAACAGAATATTTAAAAATAAACAAAAACAGGCAGGTACTGCTAGACATGATCAGCTATTCAAAATTACCTATATTATAAAGGATATATGTAAAAAAAACTTCAACGCAACAACATTTTTTCCATTACATTTAATTAAAAAGAAAAAAGCCCATTCTCTTGAAACAAGGTGACCATGTCACACTGAGATAACAGCAGGAAACGAACAGATGCTTCAGGTTAAAAGCATTCTCGACCCGCCCACAAGACAGAGCAATTGGACCTGGCTTCCCATGGAGAGAAACGTGATTGGAGGAAGGCATGAAGAGGGGGAGGAGTAACAAGAATTCTTTTAAGTCACGATGTAAAGTAGAACAATTGGTTTTGCTATATTGTTGAAAGTTATTTGTCCTATTTATGGTTGTTTGGTATGACTGGAGTTTGAGAACTTTTCAGTTGCAAACAGTCAAACCTCTGTCCACAACAGACTGCTTCTATGGAGGATACTATCACGCTGTTAGCTTATTTACCAAAGAGTGTAGTGAAAGACTTTTCCTTTCAAGTCACATACAGTATGTATCTGAACAAATATGCAGTAAGCATTTTATTTGTGTGTCCTCTAATGAATGGGATGTTTCACCTGGCTCAGATGTGAAACTGATACCTAATGCAACATACTGTATATAGCAGACCAGCATAAATAAGGAAAGTGCCTGTTATGTTTTATTTAATTTGTTTCAGTAATCATTTTTAGCTTCATGGTGTGGTTTTCTTTTTTCCCCAAAACAGCGATAAAACCATTTAAACGAAATAATTGAAATGTGTTGAATAAAAATCTTTTTTCATCCAATTCAATAGCTAGGTTCTGCTTATACAGGATTATCGTGCTGCAGAATATTAACCAGCATTGAACTGAGACATGGGAAAATGGCATTAGGATATGGCCTTCACTCACTCAATAGCAAACCAACCATTCTGTGTAATGTTCCTGTTACAACTGATAGTATTAACATAAAGTAAAGCCTTGCAGATAGAAATGCAAATCCTTAAACTGATAAAATATTCTATTACTGAGTATTGAGTACTACTTATATATAATTATTGCTCTGAGTCCTATTTTTTGAGCTTAGAAAATAAGCTCATTAGATTTTTAAACCTAAAAAAAAACCTTGACAATTATGTTTAGCAAATACGTTAGGCAGTCTTGGAATAAGCTTAGTCTATTTTATAACCATACATGATTGTTAGAGGCTGGCTGTGGTCTATGTACTGCAGGTTTATGCAGGACCTGTGTTCCTTAATATAATGTACCAGAATTCAAAACAAAAAGAAGTTGCCTCAATTATTAAATCCACCTTCTCCATAGCATGCGTATTCAAATCCCTGGTCTCTCAGTTTTGTTTTCCATTGTGACTGCTAAAAACACGTGGTAGTATTTATGTTTGTTTGCAAATATTTTGTTTTTATCTCTGTGTTATGTATTTTTTATTATACTCATCCCTTTTGTATTATTGTGCTTGAATATACTGTATATATACACAACAGACCCATATACAGCTGCAGCATTTCTGGTGGCTTGCTTATGATTTTGGTCTTTTAAAATGAGCACAATTGCTCTAAAACCTCAAAACCTATCGATGATGGAGTGTTCATGATATAAACAAGAATGAACTAAAGTGTAACTACGTTCTAAAATTTTACTTAAATTTGATTTTTTTTTTAGCTGAGAATGCTCGGCTTAAAGATTTACCAAATATATTTGTGTTTGTATGTAAAGTATCTGTTTACTACATGCACAATATTTTTTATTTCTTCTGCTTTGTGTTGCAGGATATTTTAATAACCCAAAACCATTCTTTGGCTTAGAAAAAGTTAATGGCCTTCAAGCTGCTTCCTTGGGTTTCTTCATGTCAAGTCTCTGCAGCCTTTGCACTGTTTGAGTCCGTTTTGAAGGGGAAAAATGAGTCAGTCTTTTTACTCTTTGGCGCCAGGTATCGTGCTCTGAGAAAGCAATGTGACAGACGGTATGAGGGTTTGTCTAAAACCGCTAACTGTCACCCAGGACATGGTTGTCAGGGGAAAAGCCAGGGAAGAATGTGTTGATGTTAATACAGATATATTGTCTTTAAAAATGCAAGAGGAAGAAAAAAAACCATTGCCTGGCGCTCACCAGTGAGAGATATGTGAATCACAGTTCTAATCCTTTCCTCTGCAGTGTGCATTGCATAGCTTTTTTTAATTTGCCCTATAGTCTCCAACTTAGTTGTCACATTCCTCCTTGAAGCTTTGCTTTCCTGTCGGTCTCATCCTTTCCAGTCGCAGAAGAAATGCTGGACTAATCCCTGGAAGTTTGGAACTAATGAACTAACTGCTGAGCTGCCGCCACGGAGCTTGGTCCCAAACTATACTGTACTTCACACTCGATTTATTCTCCAGATGGCAAGACTGCGCAGCCCTGCCGAGAGGGACCACCTCTTCCACTGGAGTGTGAAAGTGGACGGATGTTGTTTTCTTTGCAGATCTGATCATTCAGAATTAGAAAACGTGCTAGGATGATCCGTTATTAGCTTTAATAGATCGGCTGTGGGGACGGCAATCACAGTCTTGCCTTGCCCTGCCTTTTCCTTTCTTTTTTCGTCTCTTCCTTGAATTCCGCCGTGTGTGCGCCTTTGTGACGGGTGATTTAGTTTTGCTTCTGTGTCATCGGATCTCGTCTCCTGCAGGTGGTAGTAGTGGATGGTAGCTGAAATCACAACGTGCCTCGGCTTTCTCGGCAGCTCACCGTTGTACGTGTTTAGGAACACAATAACGAGTTTATTAGCAACAGGTCTCACAATGCACCTTGATGGCCCTGGGAAGCAGCTGAAATTGAATACCAACTCCCCCCCCGCCCCCCCCAGTCACCCCTCTCCCTCTTCAACCCTAATCCTGTGTAGCAGTTGCCTGGTGATTCAATGCAAGATGAGTGTCACTGCATTATTTTGTGAGGAGGGACCCAGCATACACAGAGTATTATCTCTGGGGTCATACATGACTTCTCCACTCTTTCCCTTTGTAAGACAATGGCTACACAATTTTCCTGGGTCATTAAAAGATTCCAGGACTCTCAGCATACCTGCCTTGTGCAGTACTAAATTCTATTAGACATCTCTGCTTTCCCTCAGAGACTGTGAAGCAAAAGTCATTTTCAAGGACAGTCGACCTCTGATGATATAGACAAATAGAATTGGTACCGAATGAATTGTGCTGCCTGGTAATTCACATATTAAGATCTTTGATTTATTGTACAAATAACATTTAGAAAATCAGATAATTATACAGTTATGATCCCAGAAGACTGATATGTTGGAGGTTTTAGTTTTGCACTAAACTATAGTTCAGCATCATAATATCAGTATCCTTTAGTATATTATCTTTTAGAATTAGTACACATTTTAAGGGAAGTCTTATCTGTTTACCCAGGGACAGTAAATGCATTAAGAGAGAGGATTTTCCCTTGGTTACTTTTCATATGGTATTATTTTTCAATACTTTCATTTTTCAGGGAAAAAAATGAAATGTGGAATCATATATACTCTCTGAAATGGTTTTGTTTCTTCTTAAATGGCGATCTGTGCTACAGTATTTAAATTTTTCACAAATGTCCTGGTGGTGGCAGCAGATGTATGTGACAAGAGACAAGAGACAGATAATTAATAAATAATTATATAAACAAATAAATGAAATAGACTTTCAGCTCACAGAAAGCTCACCAGGAGGAGAAACATACAGTAAATTTGTGAGTGAAACTATGGAGTTTGTTGTAACCATTATACTTCAAAAAGGAAAATCTATTTTTTATTCCTGTGTAATAATATAAAAAAACTGTCCAGATAATTTTATCTTATGCTGTCTTCTTTTTTTATATTTTCATAGGCCTTTAGTTGTCTATATTTTTTATGTGATATCTCTAAACATATTATAGTCAAAGTAAGATTTTGTGGACACAGAGTCATAAAACAGCTTCATAATTATACTAAGACTATATGCAAAACATGTCCTTCATGAGATATTCAAAGTAGACATTGTAATATATTGATTAAACTGTACTTATTTTTTTATATATTTTACAAATGTAAACATCTACATTGGATATTCATTCACTTTGCTTATAACATTTTTCTTTAATACAGAACTTGAGTAAATGTAACAATGTAAATATCAAAGTGCGTGCGTTTGAGGTTATTCGGTATTTGTGTTGAGAAGATAGGATTTTGAGTACATTTTGTCAGCAAAAAGTAAACTGATGTGTGCATATAATCTATATAGGGATGTTTGTATCTGTGTTTTTACGGGTATTAATT